ATTCAAACTTTCATAATACTTAATCGTATCGGCATTGTCCACCGTATCCCCCAATGACGTCATCCAAGGGCGACAACTTGAATACGGTCTTAAATGAAAGGGTCTATAGAAACAAAAAAAAAAAATCTGTTCCTACACTACTATTTAGTGTTGTATTAATGCGGTGGCATAGCATTTTTCTCAAATGCAATCTTGTTGTTTTTGTTCCCGCAAGTTAATTCTGTAAATAATTCATTTGATGGAGAATGTTTGAGTTTTAAACTTTTATTGTCAATGCTAAACAGCTGAGCCATAAAATTAAGGATTTATATATTCTTTGCAGAACAATGTAGTGACAGAACTTGGAATAGCTGAACATCCGTGGCAAATGATGGTAAGTGTTCGTCAAGGCACTGGACATCCGTTTAACATTCTCTCCGGCATCCTTGAAGTAACGTGCTCTGATGGCTGGTTCAACTTCTCTGACCTTGCTTTCTCTCACACAGGGATTGGTTATATACTCGACTTCAACATCACATATCCGACTCAGGCTGAGAACTTTAGACTAGCAACGGAACCATTTCGCATTGCTGAACGAAAGTTGAAGATTAACATCTATGAGGCAACAAGTGGTGATATTACTACAGATAGCCAGTTTTACATAATGCTCAACCTACTTGACTCTGAAACTTCTGAGACCATCACTGATATCAGCTGGAGGGTAGGTTATTTTGTTTATTAGACAATTCTCAGATTGAAGTTTAAACACATATTATATTTAGTAAATAACTGCAGAATCTCGTAAAGGGCTAAGGTATGTTTTGGGTCGATTTTGGCCCAAAATATTGAGGAAATTAAATATTGAATATATTAAATAAATAATTTAATGTCAATTGACAAAACAACAAATATGCAATTAAAAACTGACGTTCCTTTGTATGGCAGCAACATAGATGACGTCACAGATGACGTCAATCATCCTCTAATGGTCACAAATGTAATAAATATATGTATATAAACAAGAACATGAAATCTATCTCAATTCAATAAGTTAGTTTGTGTAAACTTATTCTCCTTAAATATTTTAAGTGCTATAGGATGTTGTGTCTAATACCATTATACATCTATATTAACTTTATTACAGAATCATACCTGGACAGCCAGTGTGTCAATGATATCCCCTTCCAATTACGCTACTTTAGGTGGCACAACCACCATGTCATTTGACACATATACCGGACGTGTGATGTTTCCAGACCTTTTGTTTACCGGTTTTGGGTTTTTTTGTCTGCAATTCAGGGTTGTGTCTGATCCCCCTGACTACAACATGACCATGAAACACAAAATGATAATAAAGCACCCAAAACATATTGACATGATTGTTGAAGAAACATACGGAATGATGGTAATTAACAATTAACATTTACTTTAAAAAGTTATAAATCTTGAATTCACATGCTAAAATTCTTTTACAAGTGATGTTCATGTTATTTCTTTTCTCAACAACCTTTTGATAACACTATCACATAAAAGTTGGTAAAAACCAGAGTATCTCCATTTACTTACCATATATGTAGCTTTTAAGAATTTAATTTTGTTTTCATTAAATTTAATTATTCTTTTCCTATTGTATTATTCAGGTGAAGTTCAATGTAGATTTTAATGAAGTGCTACCAGATGTGGACAAGCATGATGCGTTTGAGCAGATGATTCTGACAAATAATGCAAATATGTTGCCAGACGTACTATTTTCTAACGCATCTATATATGAAGGTCTGCAATATTTAAGTGCATATATAGCTACCCGAACCATTATGCCCCCCCCCCCCCTCCAAAAAAAAATGAACGTATAATGTCACATTCTATCTAGTATAATAACTTGTAACTTATCTCCAACATTCTTATTATGCTGTAATGATAAAATTATAAAACTACTTCTACTTTAAGTCGCTATTAATTTAAGTTCTAACAGGAAATGTCAAGAATTTAGTTGTAATGTCATATAAATGTTGAGTTCTGATCCAAGTACCTCAAAGTACAGTCTAAATTAGTGACAATGAAAAATGAATAATATTTATTATATCTAACTTATGACGAAACTTTTGTTTTGTTTTCAGGCAGTATTGTGGTGAATTTTACGATGTCCGGATTATCGTCCGACTTAAATTCTACGGTCTACAGTCTTTGCGAGATCATTTACAATGAAACGTCATATGAATTCTACAGTTACTCACTTAAACTGTCCCCCTACATGATCGTCAAAAATGAGACATATGAATTTGAATATTTCTGTGGCAAATTCGTAAGTGTTCATTTTAATTTGTCACATTTTAGATTTTATTTATCATATTTTACAACCTGGGTCTCTTCCTATAATTATCCAGAATTATGGTTGAAACGTTGACTTGCTCAGATGAATTGTTCTACATATGTCTAGGGTAACTATATATAAAGCGTGTATGTGAGCAAAATCAATTTTTAAGTATTGAATGGGTGTATGTTAGCTCCCCTTACTGTATTCTATGGGCATCGAAGGAACAGTTTTATCCCCCCTGCTATAAAATTGCTGGGGCATATAGTGTTAACAGTTTTATCCCCCCTGCTATAGAATTGCTGGGGCATATAGTGTTAACAGTTTTATCCCCCCTGCTATAAAATTGCTGGGGCATATAGTGTTAACAGTTTTATCCCCCCTGCTATAAAATTGCTGGAGCATATAGTGTTAACAGTTTTATCCCCCCTGCTATAAAATTGCTGGGGCATATAGTGTTAACAGTTTTATCCCCCCTGCTATAAAATTGCTGGGGCATATAGTGTTAACAGTTTTATCCCCCCTGCTATAGAATTGCTGGGGCATATAGTGTTAACAGTTTTATCCCCCCTGCTATAAAATTGCTGGGGCATATAGTGTTAACAGTTTTATCCCCCCTGCTATAGAATTGCTGGGGCATATAGTGTTAACAGTTTTATCCCCCCTGCTATAAAATTGCTTGGGCATATAGTGTTAACAGTTTTATCCCCCCTGCTATAAAATTGCTGGGGCATATAGTGTTAACAGTTTTATCCCCCCTGCTATAAAATTGCTGGGGCATATAGTGTTACCCTGTTTGGTCATTGCATCATCAGCGGTTTTCGTTCATTATCTTGGCAACAGTTGCACACATACAACTGTAATTTGACATATGGATATACCATAGAAAAATGCAGGTCAAGTTCAAATTTGTTCATGGTTCAATGATTAGTTACCCTTATGAGTGATGACCCTCTAACTTTGAAAAAAAGAAAGAAGAAATGTTTCCATTCATTATCTCCCCAACAGTTGTACACATCCAACTCAAATTTGACATATGGATACACCAAAGGAATGCACAGGTCATTTGAATTTGGTCATGGTTTGATGATTTTTGACAGAGTTTTGCCAATTTAATTTTGAAAAAAAAAAAATTCAGTTTCTGTCCATTACCTCCCCAACAGTTGTACACTTTTAACTGAAAATAAGTAATTAATGCACAGGTCAAGTTCAAATTTGGTCATGGTTTGATGATTTTGGACAAAGTTCTCTCTCTTTTGAACATTAGAAAAAAAAATGAATTTTTATGCTCCCCGAAAAATTTCGGGGGAGCCTATAGTCGCCGCCTTGTCCGTCTTTCCGTCCGTCCGTCCCCTTTTCTTGTCCAGGACATAACTTTGAAACAACAAGAGGTATCAACATGAAACTTTGTAGGGAGATAGATCTCATTGAGTAGGTGTGCAGTGCACAGGAACCGTAACTCTGCCTTGCCTAGTTTTTGAATAATTCCCCTTTGTTTATTTTACACTTTGAAGTTTGTCCGGGACATAACTCTAAAAGTATAAGAGGTATCTACATGAAACTTTGTAGGTGGATAGATCTCATTGAGTAGGTGTGCAGTGCAAAAGACCCGTAACTCTGCATTGCCTAATTTTTGAATTATCCCCCTTTGTTTATTTTACACTTTGAAGTTTGTTCGGGACATAACTCTTAAAGTATAAGAGGTATCAACATGAAACTTTGTAGGTAGATAGAGCTCATTGAGTAGGTGTGCAGTGCACACAAACCGTAACTCTGCCTTGCCTAATTTTTTAATTATCCCCCTTTGTTTATTTTACACTTTGAAATTTGTCCGGGACATAACTCTAAAAGTATAAGAGGTATCAACATGAAACTTTGTAGGTAGATAGAGCTCATTGGGTAGGTGTGCAGTGCACACAAACCGTAACTCTGCCTTGCCTAATTTTTGAATTATCCCCCTTTGTTTATTTTACACTTTGAACTTTGTCCAGGACATAACTCTAAAACTATAATAGGTATCAACATAAAACTTTGTAGGTATATAGATCTCATTGAGTAGGTGTGCAGTGAACAAGAACCTTAACTCTGCTTTGCCTAATTTTTGAATTATCCCCCTTTGTTTATTTTTACACTTTGAACTTTGTCCGGGACATAACTCTAAATGTATAAAAGATATCAACATGAAACTTTGTAGGTAGATAGATCTCATTGAGTAAGTTTGCAGAACTGTAACACTGTCTTGCCTACTTTTGGAGTTATTGCCCTTTGTTCATTTTGACACTTTGAACTTTGTCCGGGACATTACTCTAAAATTATAAGAGATATCAACATGAAAATTTGTAGATAGATAGGTCTCATTGGGTGGAAGTGCAGTGCTAAAGAATCATTACACTGCCTTGCCTTATTTTGAAGTAATTGCCCTTTGTTTATTTTTAGCTCACCTGTAACAAAGAGACAGGGTGAGCTTTTGTGATCGCTTTTCGTCCGGCGTCCGTAAACTTTTACTTTAAATGACATCTCCTCATAAACCGCTGAGCCAATTTCATCCAAACTTCACAGGAATGTTCCTTTGGTGATCACCTTTAAAAATTGTTCAAAGAATTTAATTCCATGCAGAACTCTGGTTGCCATGGCAACAGATAGAAAAAACTTAAAATATCTTCTTTTAAAAAACCCAAAGAGGTAGAGCTTAGATATTTGGCATGAAACATCTTCTAGTGAGTGTCTATCAAGTTTGTTCAAATAAAAGCCCTGGGGTCAAAATTGGCCCGGCCCCAGGGGGTCATTGATTTTCCCTATATGCATACAGTAAAAACTTAAAAAATCTGCTTTTTAAGAACCTAAAGAGCTAGAGCTAAGATATTTAGCATGAAACATCTTCTAATGGGTGTCTACCAAGTTTGTTCAAATAAAAGCCCTGGGGTCAAAATTGGCCCCGCCTCAGGGGGTCATTGATTTTCCCTATATGCATATAGTAAAAACTTATAAAACTTCTTTTAGGGAACCCAAAGAGCTAGAGCTAAGATACTTAGCATGAAAGATGTTCTAATGGGTGTCTTCCAAATTTGTTCAAATAAGAGCCCTGGGGTTAAAATTGGCCCTGTTCCGGGGGTCATTGATTTTCCTTTTATGTGTATTGCAAAAGCTTTTTAAAAAAATCTTTTTTGAAAAAACCCAAATAGCTAGAGTTTAGATATTAAGCATGAAACATCTTCCAGTTAGTGTCTAAATAAAAGCCCTATGGTCAAAATTGGCCCTGCCCCGGGGGACATTAATTTTCCTTATATGTGTATCGCAAAAACTTAAAAATCTTCTTTGAATAAAAACAAATAGCTAGAGTTTAGATATTAAGCATGAAACACCTTCTAGTGTCTTCAAAGTTTGTTCAAATAAAAGCCCTGGGGTCAAAACTGGCCCCGCCCTAGGGATGTCATTGCTTTTAACTATATGTGTATAGTAAAAACTTAAAAAATCTTTTTTTTAAAAACTCAACGAGCTAGACCTGAGATGTTTAGCATGAAACATCTTCTAATGGGTGTCTACCAATTTTGTTCAAATAAAAGCCCTGGGGTTTAAACTGGCCTCGCTCTGAGGGCCTATATACAGGTGAGCGACTTCAGGGCCATCATGGCCCTCTTGTTACTTTTTGACTTTTGTCCGTGACATAACTTTAAAACTATTAGAGATATCAACATGAAACTTTGTAGGTAGCTAGATATAATTGGATAGAACTGCAATGCTTAAAGAACCTGAACAAAGCCTGGTCTAATTTTGGAGTTATTGCCCTTTGTTCATTTTTACACTTTGAATTTTACCTGGGACATAACTCTGATATCATCAGGAAACTTTATAGATAGATAGATCTCATTGAATAGAAGTGCAGTGCAAAAAAAACATAACTCCACTTTGCCTAATTTTGGAGTTTTTTGCCCTTTGTTCATTTTTTTTATACTTTCCTGTGTCCAGAACCTTCTCGGGGAGCATCACCCGGTTCAACCGGTTCTTGTTTAAAAAGTTTTTAAATTTAAAAAAAATAAAAATTCAGTTTCAGTTCACTATTATCCCATCAGTTGTACACAACTCAAATTACTATATGGATATGTAATAGCAATGAGCACAGGTCATTTGAATATGGTCATGGTTTGATGATTTTTGACAGAGTTTTGCCAATTTAATTTTGAAACAAGAGGGCCATGATGGCCCTGGATCGCTCACCTGACACAACCGCATCCAAGCAATGTCTTAAACAAGCATCATGACCAAGTTTGATGCGACTGAGTCAAACATGTGACCTATAGTGTGTTATAAAGATTTTTCCATATTTGGGCAATGTGACCTAATTTTTGACTGGACACAACCCATATTCAAACTTGACCTAGAAATCATCAAAACAACCTTCCTGACCAATTTCCAGGAAATTTGGATCAAAACTGCAGCCACTAGAGTGTTAAAAAAAAATTCTATTTTTAGCTCCTGTGACCTAGTTTTTGACCGGACATGACCAATCTTAGCACTTGACCCAGAAAACATCAAAACAACATTCTTGACAAATTTCCAGAATATTTGAATCAAAACTGCAGCCACTAGAGTGTAAACAAGCTTTTTCTATTTTTAACTCCTGTGACCTAGTTTTTGACCTGAGATGACCCATCTTCGAACTTGACCTAGAAATCATCAAAACAACCTTCCTGACAAATTTACAGAATATTTGAATCAATACTGCAGCCACTAGAGTGTTAACAAGCTTTTTCTATGTTTAGCTCCTGTGACCTAGTTTTTGACCGGAGATAACCCATCTTCGAACTTGACCTAGAAATCATCAAAACAACCTTCCTGACAAATTTCAAAAATATTTGAATGAAAACTGCAGCCCCTAGAGTGTTAACAAGCTTTTTCTATTTTTAGCACCTGTGACCTAGTTTTTTACCGGATATGACCCGTCTTCGAACTTGATTTAGATATCATCAAAACAACATTCTTGACAAATTTCCAGAATATTTAGATGAAAACTGCAGCCACTAGAGTGTTAACAAGCTTTTTCTATTTTTAGCTCCTGTGACCTAGTTTTTGACCAGACATGACCCATCTTCCAACTTGACCTAGATATCATCAAAACAACCTTCCTGACAAATTTCCAGAATATTTTAATCAAAACTGCAGCCACTAGATTGTTAACAAGCTTTTTCTATTTTTAGCTCCTGTGACCTAGTTTTTGACCGGAGATAGCCCATCTTCGAACTTGACCTGAAAATCATCAAAACAACCTTCCTGACAAATTTCAAAAATATTTGGATGAAAACTGCAGCCCCTAGAGTGTTAACAAGCTTTTTCTATTTTTAGCACCTGTGACCTAGTTTTTTACCGGACATGACCCATCTTCCAACTTGATTTAGATATCATCAAAACAACATTCTTGACAAATTTCCAGAATATTTAGATGAAAACTGCAGCCACTAGAGTGTTAACAAGCTTTTTCTATTTTTAGCTCCTGTGACCTAGTTTTTGACCGGACATGACCCATCTTCCAACTTGACCTAGATATCATCAAAACAACCTTCCTGACAAATTTCCAGAATATTTGGATGAAAACTGCAGCCACTAGAGTGTTAACAAGCTTTTTCTATTTTTAGCTCCTGTGACCTAGTTTTTGACCTGAGATGACCCATCTTCGAACTTGACCTAGATATTATCTAAGCAACCTTCCTGACAAATTTCCAGAATATTTAGATGAAAACTGCAGCCCCTAGAGTGTTAACAAGCTTTTTCTATTTTTAGCTCCTGTGACCTAGTTTTTGACCGGAGATGACCCATCTTCGAACTTGACCTAGATATCATCAAAACAACCTTCCTGACAAATTTCCAAAATATTTGGATCAAAACTGCAGCCACTAGAGTGTTAACAAGCTTTTTCTATTTTTAGCTCCTGTGACCTAGTTTTTGACCCGACATGATCCATCTTCGAACTTGACCTAGATATCATCTAAACAACCTTCCTGACAAATTTTCCGAATATTTGGATGAAAACTGCAGCCACTAGAGTGTTAACAAGCTTTTTCTATTTTTAGCTCCTGTGACCTAGTTTTTGACCGGAGATAACCCATCTTCGAACTTGACTTAGAAACCATCAAAACAACCTTCCTGACAAATTTCCAGAATATTTGTATGAAAACTGCAGCCTATAGAGTGTTAACAAGCTTTTTCTATTTTTAGCTCCTGTGACCTAGTTTTTGACCGGAGATGACCCATCTTCGAACTTGACCTAGATATCATCAAAACAACCTTCCTGACAAATTTCCAAAATATTTGGATGAAAACTGCAGCCACTAGAGTGTTAACAAGCTTTTTCTATTTTTAGCTCCTGTGACCTAGTTTTTGACCGGAGATGACCCATCTTCGAACTTGACCTAGATATCATCAAAACAACCTTCCTGACAAATTTCCAGAATATTTGGATGAAAACTGCAGCCTCTAGAGTGTTAACAAGCTTTTTCTATTTTTAGCTCCTGTGACCTAGTTTTTGACCCGAGATAACCCATCTTCGAACTCGATCTGTATTTCATTAAGACAAACATTCTGACAAAGTTTGATGATGATCCAATCAAAACTGTGACTGCTAGACTGTTAACAACCCAATTATTAGAGTGTTAACAAGCTTTTTCTATTTTTAGCTCCTGTGACCTAGTTTTTGACCGGAGATGACCCATCTTCGAACTTGACCTAGATATCATTAAAACAACCTTCCTGACAAATTTCCAGAATATTTGGATGAAAACTGCAGCCTCTAGAGTGTTAACAAGGTTTTTCTATTTTTAGCTCCTGTGACCTAGTTTTTGACCCGAGATAACCCATCTTCGAACTCGACCTGTATTTCATTGAGATAAACATTCTGACAAAGTTTGATGATGATCCAATCAAAACTGTGACTGCTAGACTGTTAACAACCCAATTGTTGACGACGCACGACGCACGACGCACGACGCACGACGACGGACGCCGGACATAGCCCCATCACTATACCTCACCTTGACCACTTCGTGGTCAGGTGAGCTAAAAAAAATAAAAAAAAAAATTTCAGTTTCTGTCCATTACCTCCCCAACAGTTGTACTTTTCACTCAAATTAAGTATATGGATATGGCAAATAAATGCACAGGTCAAGTTCAAATTTGGTCATGGTTCGATGATTTTGGACATAGTTCTCTCTCTTGTGAACATTAGAAAAAAATTGAATTTTTTAAAGTTTTTTAACTTTGAAAAAAAGAGAAAAAAAAAATCAGTTTCAGTTCACTATTATCCCAACAGTTGTACACAACTCAAATTAATATATGGAAATGTCATAGCAATGAGCAGGTCAATTTCGAATTTGGTCTTTTGAAACAGTTATCCCTCTTGAACATTGAAAAAAAAAAGGAGAAATTTTAAGTTTCCATACATTATCTCCCGCAACAGTTGTACAGTTTTAAGTCAAATTTGACATATTGATACATCATAGGACTAAGCAGGTAAAGTTTGAATTTGGTCATGGTTCAATGACAATGATTTTGGACAAAGTTCTCCCTCTCTTTTGAACGTTCGAAAAAATTGATATTTCCAGTCTTAGTTTTGTGGAAATGTATGTATAAGGTTATAATCGCATGTGCCGGTAATTAATCAGAAAATACAAGTTAAGTTCATATTTGATTTTTGAACTTAAATTTTCAGTTCCTGCTCTTACTTTTTATAGGAATGTATGTCCAAGGTTGACCTTGCATGTGCTAATTTCTTACCAGAAAATACAAGAAAGTTCTACTTTGGTCATGGTCAGATATTTTTGACAGTTATCCCCCTTGAACTTGGAAACAATTTAAAAAATCTCAATTTCGACGGTAATTATTATCTCAGCTACAAATATCCAATATGCAAAAGGTTAACACTGAATAGTTTCAGGGACTTGAACTAATAGTACAAAAATGGTTTGTGTTAACATTGAATAGTTTAAAGGCCTTGAACTTAGAATAAAAAAATGATACCTGCAAACAAATTTGGAACTAAATTTTATCATAACATTTGAAATTTTGGCTGCATGTGTGGGTATTTGTGGCGGCATGACAACACATTTCTAGTTGTGCCAGCATTCATAGAGATAATCCTGATAATTTATAATTGTTTTATTGACCAATTTCAGCCTGATGACAAGGAGGAGGAAGGTGGAATGGAATTAGTCGTGAAAGTTACCGTTGTTGTCATACCGCTCCCTATCGTGGGTGTGGCCTTATTCCTTTTCATCTGGAGATGTAAGGTCAAACCTAAAACCCAAACTCATGGTAGGTATCAGCATGCCAAATGTTTGTTTAAAACAGCAGGCATACAGATATTGCATGAAAAAAAAAAAAACATATTAAGTAACTCATTCGATCATTCAAGTCATATTAAGTACAAGCTGTCAAAATAGATTACCCAAAGTGTTTTAAAACTTGTTAGTAATTGGGTAGAAATATGATGATGGAAGAGAAAATTGTGTCATCTTTTTCATCAAATGGTGATTTGGGTTGATTTTTTAAACTACAAACATAATTTCTTCCTGTTTGTTTTCTATTTAAAGTCTAGAAGCGTCACGCAATTTATTATACATGGATTGCATCTGAATAGTGGTTGGTCTTTACATTTTTTTAGTTTTGCTGTTTTTATTTGGCTTATGTCATTTCACCGAGCATTGACTTTCCATAGCAACCATTGATAGCAAACCCTAACAGCCCGTAGACACTGACTTTCGATAGCAACCATATAATTTCACAGTAACCACTGTCTTTCCATAACATCCATAGTCTTGTTATAGCAACCATTGACTTTCCATAGCAACCAGTGCCTTTCCATAGCAACCATAGACTTCCATTGCTAACAGTGACTTCCTATAGCAACTATTGACCTTCCATATTAATCATTGACTTTCCATAGCCACCATTGTCTTTCCATTGACTTCTATTCAATATTGCAACCAATTTGAGTCTCCATAGCAACCACAGACTTTCAAAGCAACTGTAGGTGCAGCAACCATTGACCTCCATAACAAACAGTGACTTTAAATAGCAATATTAGTGTCTCAAATAGCAACCATTGACTTTCCAAAACAACTGTTTGCTTTCCATAACAATCATTGACTGCCATAGCTACCATTGACTTCATAACAGCCATTGACTTTTCATAACAAACTGTAAATCTCTATAGCAACCGGTAACTTCTATAGCAAAAATTGAATTTCCATTGCAACGAGTAAATCTATAATAGACTTGTTTTGCAACCAGTGACTTTAAAAGCAACTAGGCTTGGCTTTCACTAACTTTCTCAAACTGAGACAAATCTCAACCTATGATTGTCTCAACAGTGACTGAGGTTCTTACTCACTTGAGAAAAATCTCAAGATGGCTTTCACTTAACTTTTTCTCAGCACTTAAGATTTGTCTCAACTTTTTTTCTAAAGACATAGCATCTAATAACTTCCATAGCAAACAGTGACTTTCCATTGCAACCAATGCCTTCCATAGCAATAAGGGACTTTCCATAGCAACCAGTGTCTTTCCATAACAACCATAGTCTTGCTATAGCAGCCATTGACTTTTTATAGCAACCATTGGCTATCCATAGCAACCATAGACTTCCATTACAATCAGTGACTTCCTATAGCAACCAGTGGTTTTCCATAGCAACTGTTGTCTGTCCATGGCAACCTTGACCTCTATTGTAACGATTGACTTTCCATAGCAACCACAGAACATCCGGTAACACTGCAGCAACCATTGACTTCCATAGTAAATAGTGACTTTAAATAGCAATTAGTGTTTCTCATAGCAAACATTGACTTTCCATAGCAAAACATTGATTTTCCATAGCAGCCGTTTGCTTTCCATAAAAAACCATTGACTTTCATAGCCACCAGTGACTTCATAGCAGCCAGTAATTTTTCATAGTTAACTGTAATTTTTAACCAGTAACTAGTTAAATAAACATTGAATTTCCATAGCAAACAGTGAATCTACCAATGATTTCTTTAGGAACTATTGTTTGCCCATAGCAATCATTATTGTTTTTACCCGTGCACTATTTCAGATTTCATTATGAACTTTGTTATATCAGTTTAAGATTTAGATTATATATCTGCTTTTGTTTATACATGTAGTTTGCAGTATTACTTGTTTCTTTTCATGAAGAATATTTATATTCAAGTGAGCAATATAAGGGCCATCATGGCCCTCTTGTATTTGATTACAGCGCTTAAGTTTCATACAGAATAATTACAACTTAATTGTCCAGGCAGCTTAAGCGTAAATGAAAATTTGAGATAAAGCATGTTGAAGGCAAATCATATTATTAAATATCTAAATGATAATATATTTTCCCCTTTTTCAGACGTGCGGTCGGTTACCCTGGGTACCCTTCATAGTAATGCTGAACAGTCGGTTACCCTGGGGTACCCTGCATAGTAATGCCTGAACAGAATCTTGAAACACTACCTGTTCTGTGAAGGTTCTTCCGCAGGTTTCAGTGGTTCTCGACCGCCTACTGCAACTGGTATGATTCCCTTGCTCGAGGAGAGACCGCTGTCATCATTCTCAGTGAGAGTCAGTACGCCGGATCCAATGCAAAAGGGGACAGTCAATGATGGCTCTATAGAGGATGACAATAACATTTCACCACTACCTCCGTCTTGTGAAACCCCTGTGATGTATCTAAGGAGCCCGAGTCCAAATTCGTCACTAGGAAGAGAAAGCCCACTTCCGCCTGTTGGCAGTGATTACACCACAATTAATGTCACCTACGCCCCATTGGCAGCTACCAAGCCGGAAACTAAGCCAAAGGAAAAGATCGAGTGAACTAATTGGAGGATTTCCTATGTATAAATAATGATATGTGCTACTTGAAAATAACATGACATGTAACAGTTGCCACGCTTAAAGGCAATAGGAGACACTAAAATATGGACAAATTTCATCTAGACTGGAATATCATGTTAAGATTTCCATTTTATTTTACTTTATTTTGGTTTTTACTTTACTAGATAGAAACGCGGAATACACATGACTAGAAACTATGAGAAAAAGTGTTAATAAATATTTCTGATAAATGATTTACGAATAGAACTTGAAAATGTTAGAAGTTTATGATTTTTTTTTGTGTATCGTGTTGTTATTAACAGTAAAATTTTCTTGATAACTGTTTTGTTATTTCAACTGAACACCTACATATTGTGAATTGATAAAATTAGAAATGAGCCGCGTCACGACAAAACCAACATAATGGGTTTGCGACCAGCATGGATCCAGACCAGACTGCGCGGAGGCGGAGCATCCATGCTGGTCACAAACCCATTATGTTGGTTTTGTCGTGACGCGGCTCAAATTAATTTGAAAACTAACAAATAACACCATATCATCTCATCATAATTATATTTTGATTCGACAAAAGCATTAAATGATAAATTGAATTGTACAAATTTATAAAATTGTTTGTTACTAAAGCTAGAAAAAGTCTTAAGGTATTAGCACCCTAATGCATTACCTCCGCTTTGAAGAGTATTCAAATAGGCTAGAACTACTGTTAACTACATTGAAAATGAGGGCCATGGGTTCAATCCCCAGAAGGGTCAACTTTTTTTTTCTTTCTTTTTTTCTTTTAACATTATTTATGTATCTCTCATGTCCCATTTGGAAAGAAAAAAGTGTTTAATTTTGATTTTTTAATTTATATAGGTATTTATTGGCTAAATTATGCTAAATCTAGTAATAAATATGGTACCTGATATTTTCAAAGTGTAATATAATCAAAACTAGACGGTAAAAGTATTTCATATTTTACAAGATCAACCAATATACTTTTTTAAAAATTTAGGGAAACTTTGAAAACAGGCACTAATTTGAGTAAATTTTAAGATTTTTTTTAAATTAGGCTCCCTAAGTAGAAAAATGGTCAGACACGTGGTAAAAATGGGTGGGGTAGGGTAACATTTTTATACAGATTTCATAAATTTTAAGTAGAAACCATAATTTTGCTTATGTTGATTGTTAGCTGAATGGTACTATTTGTTTCTTACCAAAAATTAATGGGAAAACATTTTTCATTAGAATGTTATTGCAGATTATTTAAAGGTTCCTCATTTCTAAAAAAGGGCCCTCATAACATCCTAGCTTGAGTTCAGAAAAGTGGCCATAACTTGATTTCCATACGGTAAACTTTGTTTAAATTTTGCATACAGGTGTACTTTAAGGTACATGTATACATCTGACCTAGCTATGATGTCAATTTTTTAGTTCCTGACAGTGCCCATTAGGGTCCTAATACCTTAAATTGAGTCATTGCTTCCGGATGTGTTTATGTTCCACAACATTTTAATTTTGTTATTTTTTATGTGTTTTACAGTATTGGCATTACTGTGAATAGTTTATTTTTACAAGTACAGTTAAAACTCACTATTAAGACCACTGACGGGACTGAAACAAAGTTAAGTCACAATTTCGGGATTGTCTTGATAGTATAGAGGATATTATTATCAAGGCATATATAATTTATTACCTAAGTCTAGTTTAAGGTCAAGGTCATACTTAAAGGTCAAGTGTAAAAAGTCTACATTTCGTGTCGGCTTTATAACTTTTAAACCGCCGATTTTTTTAAAATAACTGCACAATTGATCACCATTATGAGACAATGTGCATCCTTTAAGGTCAAGGTCCCACTGAAAGGTCAAATTTTTACATTTGGTTTTTGCACCATAACTTTTAAACCACAAAAAAATTTAAATAGGTGTGGCAAAAGTGATAACCCTTATACGAGACAATATGCAGAGCGCAATAATTGGTTTGCTACCCCCAAGGTCAAGGTCCCACTTAAAGGTCGAATGTTCAAAAGTCTACATTTCGTGTCTGCTCCATAACTTAAACCTCTGAAAAAATTTCAAGTAACTTGGTACAAGTGATCACAATTATGTGGCAATGTGCAGAGCACGATATTGGTTGCTTAACCCAAGGTCAAGGTCACATTTAAATGTAAAGTGATAAAAAGTCTACATTTGTGTCCGCTCCGTAATAGAAAGAGCATCGAAACACGAGGCTATCTGATTTGTACGAGGGGGCGTAACCCCCGAGTATTAATCAGATTCCCGATTGTTTTGATGTTTTTTCTCTTTTGTATCATAGTCAAACATTAAAACACATTCCCTGTTGTCACAATATGAAACCCCAGGTAAAAGTAACCAATGAACGAGCATCTGAATACGATATTTCTGTCGCTTTCCTCTTTCTCTTCCGTCACAATAAGTAAACCCCAGCAAAAATGAGCCAATCAATGGGCATGCTCTGGAGTGCGGGTAACTAATACCTGCACTCCAGTTAACGCACTGTGCATGTATATGTATACGATTTAACTCTGACACATTTTCAACAGAAAGGTCCCCAAACTATGATACAAATAACATTTAAACCTTTGCAATGTTTTAAGATAACTTAGCAGAAATTATCACCATTTGCAAAGCACAATAATCAAGTCACAACCCTTAAGGTCAGGGTCACACTCAACACCGTAGGGAACGTGTTACAGTATCGCGTTTTCCGGTTACAGTATAGAATTTTCAAAATGGAGGATTATTTGTGGGGAAGACAGATATGTGATTTTATTCCGGTCCGCAGTACATGTAGTTAGGTTTCTAAAAGATGTTTTTTGTGCTTTACTCGTAAGGAACTGAATACGGTATCTAGTCATATATATTTCTTCAAACCCTGCACCGAGATTTATCTCTATATTCTCTCGTAAATATGCAGATCTGACAGATTGAATCGGGAGACCAACGCATTTTTCTCCCATTCCGACGTTATTTAAGCATGCCTAAAAAAGTAAACCTACCAAACGTTATTCCTTTGTGTTAAGAAATGTTTATAAAAGTAAACGACCAGTTTGACCTATTTTCCTGTTCGTCAAATGCGTTTGAAAAAATAAACAATGTTAATTACAGTATAGAGCGAGGTGATCGAATTTTGCAGGGTTACAGTATAGACCAAGCGACTTTGATCCGATTTTGTTACAGTATATACCCAAATTTCGGTTACAGTTTAGATACTAGCCAAATTTCAAATAAAATTCGTGTATGTATTAAATTATTTTTATGAAATAACCCATACCTTTCTATTTTATATATTTATGAAGGGTTGTATTACATTTTTTCTTCAAACAAAAAGTAATTATAGTTTGCTATTTTCCTTATTTTAAGTACTTATATTCAGATTGAGACTGTTAGCAGAATAAGTAATGTCCTTAGTAAGGACTGTTTTCACAACAACAACAGTAACTGTTAGAGAGAAGAAAAATTATTGCTTGGTTTCATTACACATTAAAATGCCTGTTAGTAATAAAATAGAGAAAAACAGATTCCTTAAAGAAAGTCAAACACGGAAAAATAAAAATGTTGCAGGCTCGATTTGATCAAATCTGATCATGGACGGTACTGGTAACTGCAAGCTACCGTCCACGCCTCCTAGCACCGGCTCCAGCAAAATTTATCATTTGACATAAACTGGTAAACTTTAGATTTTTTTAAAAACATCTGTAGATGTGTTCATATGGCGGTATCATGTAACCTTCAATGTGACACGTTAGTGCCATTCCACAAAAAGCGGCTATATTATCCCCTAGGTTAGTAATTGCGTCTGCCCTAACGAGAATACAATGGGTGGAAACAAAAAAAAAAATGAATTTTGAAAGGGGGATCGGAGGTTTTATGAAGCCTGCACACCACAGATCTAGCTGTCAAAAGACACAACTAAAAGAGAAGGCAACATACCCTAAGGGTGATTAAACAGTATTCAAGTGAGAAATACTGCAACCTTTAAAACTTTTAAAAAGGGTTGTTATTCTTGGTTTTCTTGGATTTTAGGTTTTACCGACAATAAGGTCATGTGTGAAACCAACAATAAGGTCATGTGAAAACATTTCTTGGCTTAACTGTAAAGAAAGACCACAGATACCCCTTTGTGAAACATTTCAGGACACGAGCGGGCACCTGACTAGAACCACCGACCTTCCATAAACTAGCTTGATAGATTCCTCACATACACAGAATCCAACGTCATTCGTAGCAGTAAATGAAAGATGATTTAAAGTCGGCGACCTTAACCCGACCCTGCCAAATATTATATACCTCCACCAGGCTCTATGGAAAAGATATTGTTAATTGTCTGACCTTAATTTATACTCTATATCTTTCAGTATTATTTTCCTTTTCAGAAACATGAAAACTTCTATTACAGGATGAACTGAAATAAAAAGAAACTACTTTTAATTTAATAATGACAAAATAATCTTCACTTTAACAAAGAAACATTCGAAATGACGCCAGGGTCATAATTTTGATTTGAATGCTTTTTGGTTCGAGAGAAGAAGGGGTTTTAAAACAATTGCCTTTTTTAAAAATCTACATTTTTGTTTTTTTATCCCAGATTGCGACTGAAACCATTTGAACAACTTTGGTAGAAATCATTGTAAATTTCATCAAATTTGATCAAGCAGTTACTGAGCGGATAAGATTGGACACGCATGTGTACGACAGACGGACAAATAGCCATCGTCCAAATAAGCTCACCAGTTGAGTTGAGATTTAAAAGTCTATGTATCATTCATACATTTTACCAAGAATATAAAACAAGAGGGCCATGATGGCCTTGAGGTCGCTCACCTGTATATAGCCCCCCCCCCCCCAACGTTGCAGGGCCAATTTTAACCCAAGGGCTTTTATTTGCACAAACTTGGTAGACACCCATAAGAAGATGTTTCATGCTAAGCTCTAGCTCATTGGGCTTTTTAAAAGAAGATTTTTTTAAGTTTTTACTATACACATATAGTTAAAAACAATGACAACCCTGGGGCCGGGCCAGTTTTTACCCCAGGGCTTTTATTTGAACAAACTTTGTAGACACTTCCTAGAAGATGTTTCATGCTTAATATCTAAACTCTAGCTATTTGGGTTTTTTCAAAGAAGATTTTAAGTTTTTGCTATACACATATAAGGAAAATCAATGACCCTCGGGGCGGGGCCAATTTTGACCCCAGGTCTTTTATTTGAACAAACTTTGTAGACACTCACTAAAAGATGTTTCATGCTTAATATCTAAAACTCTAGCTATTTGGGTTTTTTCAAAGAAGATTTTTTTAAGTTTTTGCTATACACATATAAGGAAAATCAATGACCCCCGGGCGTGGTGCCAATTTTGACCCAGGGCTTTTATTTGAACAAACTTGGTAGACACCTATTAGAACATGTTTGATGCTAAATAATCTTAGCCATAGCTCTTTGAGTTCTTTAAAAGAAGATTTTTTAAGTTTTTACTATATGCATATAGGGAAAATCAATGACCCCCTGGGCGGGGCCAATTTTTGACCCCAGGGCTTTATTTGAACAAACTTGGTAGACACCTATTAGAACATGTTTTTGATGCTAAATATCTTAGCCATAGCTCTTTGAGTTCTTTAAAAGAAGATTTTTTAAGTTTTACTATATGCATATAGGGAAAATCAATGACCCCCCTGGGGCGGGGCCAATTTTGACCCCAGGGCTTTTATTTGAACAAACTTGGTAGACACCTATTAGAACATGTTTGATGCTCAATATCTTAGCTCTAGCTCTTTGAGTTCTTTATAAGTTTTTACTATATATGCATATAGGGAAAATCAATGACCCCCCGGGGCGGGGCCAATTTTGACCCCAGGGCTTTTATTTGAACAAACTTGGGAGACACCCATTAGAACATGTTTCATGCTAAATATCTTAGCTGTAGCTCTTTGGGTTCTTTAAAAGAAGATTTTTTAAATTTTTACTATATGCATAAAGGGAAAATCAATGACCCCCTGGGGCAGAGCCAATTTTAACCCCAGGGCTTTTATTTGAACAAACTTGGTAGACACTCACTAGAAGATGTTTCATGCCAAATATCTAAGCTCTAGCTATTATGTTTTTTTTTAAAGAAGATATTTAAAGTTTTTTCTTTCGGTTGCCATGGCAACCAGAGTTCTGCATGGAATTAAATTCTTTGAACAATTTTTAAAGGTGACCACCAAAGGAACATTCCTGTGAAGTTTGGATGAAATTGGCTTAGTGGTTTATGAGGAGATGTCATTTAAAGTAAAAGTTTACGGACGGACGGACGCCGGACGAAAATTAAGCGATCACTTCGTGACAGGTGAGCTAAAAATATCGAGGTCTAAGCTGTAACCGAAATCTGGGTATAAACTGTAACAAAATCGGATAAAAATCGCTAGGTCTATGCTGTAACCTTGCACAAATCACCTCGCTCTATACTGTAGCATTGTTTATTTTTTCAAACGTATCTGACGAACAAGAAAATAGGTTCAACTGGTCGTTTTCTTTTATAAACGTTTCTAAACACAAAGGTCTAACGTTTTGTAGGTTTACTTCTTGTAGGCATGCTTAAATAATGTCGGAATGGGAGAAAAATGCGTTGGTCTCTCGATTCGAATTTTCAATCTGTCAAATCCGCACATTTATGAGACTTTAAAGAGATGATACTGCGGTGCAGGGTCTAAAGAAATATATGACTAAGTACTGGATCCAGTGCCTTACAAGAAAAGCACAAAACATCTTTAAGAAACTAAACTACTTGTAGTATGAACGGGAATAAAAAGTCACCTATAATCCGGCACCCTATAATCCTCCATCTTGAAAATTCTATACTGTAACCGAAAAAGCGATACTGTAACCCTACGGTGCTCGAAGGTCCAATGTAAACACATCTATTTTTCATGTACGCTTTATAACTTATTGAAAATTCAAAAGTTTTAACATTACTTAATTGGCACAAATGATCCCCACCATGAGACAATCTGCAGAGCACAACATCCAGATTGCAAGGTCAAGGTTATATGTTCTCCATAACTTTGACTTTATTGAAGATTTTAAATAACTTGGTACAAATTCACTGCGAAGAGGGATTTATCAGTCCTTCAGTTTGCCTTGTTACACTTTGAAATTTGTTCGAGACATAACTCTGAATATTAACATAACTTTGTAGATCTTAATAAAAGGAAGTGCTGTGCAAAGAACAGTAACTCTGCCTTGCCTAATTTTGGAATTACGTATGTATAGCACTTTGAACTTTGTCCGTGACATAACTCAGAAACTACAAGAGGTGTACTTTTCTTTGTCCAAGACCTATTCGGGAAGCATCACACGGTTCAAACAGGGTCTTATTTTGAGAATGTACGCAGTATCATGTCATTTTTTCTGGAAATTTTTCGTACAAAATTTAATGAAAAAAGAACAAAGGTTAAAATATAGTTTTGAAACAGATTCTACAAAGAATTAACTTCCAGTCGTCTGAAACTTTCAGTTTAATCGACAATCTTTCAATTTCTGTAAAATTAATGCCGGGTGTACACACTACTAGTATCCAGATTCCAAATGGCGTTAAACCCGGAACACTGTCAAGAAAGGGAAAAGTTGTGTCAAGTCATTTGGAATATTAAAACAATGACATCTTCTTTGCAAAAGAAATTAAATTCAAAACTTCTGAATTTTTACATGGCTCGTTTTTCTTTAAAATACCGGTTGATAAAATTTTGAGGATGCGTACCAAGGGGGTCATTCCATGCGCGCGCATCCTCAAAATTCTGATACTGCTTTTTGAACAAAAACGAGTCATGTAAAGCAATCAGAATAGATTTGAATTTAATTTCTTTTGCAAAGAAGATGTCCTTACTTCTAGTTTTGATATTCCAAATATCTTTACCTAAGTCTTCCCTTTCTCGTCAGTATTTCGCGTTGAATGCGATTTTGATTCTGGATACTGCATACACCCGGGGATGAAATGTTATAGAAATTGAGAATTTTTGATTAAACTGTAAGTTTCACACAGCTGGAAGTTATTTTATTGTAGAACATGTTTCATTAATATATTTTCAATCTTTGTTAATATTCCTTTATACGAAAAATGTCTTAAAACGAAGTTTTTACAGGAAATAGACATTATGATACTGCGACTGTAGCGTACGCTCTCAAACGTACACATTTATGTGTTATTGATTGTGCCCACACTTTTTTCGAAGCAGTTTAAGTTCATCATGGGATCAAATGGATAACACTGGAGAGATAATAAAAAGATGATTAAAATAAAAATAAGATTCAAATCCTGTGATAAAGTATGCTGCCTTAAAATGTACATCCTAAAAAAAGGTTTGAGGTTAATATTTTTCAATAAATTTGTTTATTTACTCATTTATGTAACACTGTATACTGATAAATTTTTTCGTACACTGCATAAGTAACTTTTTATAGTCAACCTGCATACACTATATTGTATCTACTTGTGAATGACTAATCAATTATTCCACAAGTAATAAACATATATCTAGAAAACAATTCACAACAAGACTTAATATCAAGTTTTCGAACAATTTTTTGCGACCATTGCCGCTATTCTTTTTGGTCTTTTCGTGAATAGACTCTACCGAATACATTTCTTCTGAGAGTTCAGCATTGTCAAGACGTCCCTTGCACCTCATTAATCCCTCTTCGTCGCTGTAGTGCAAGATTATTTGGCCTTTTGGACCTTATTGAATCTAGTTCCTCCTTAAAATTCCTTCTTTGGCACAATTTTATCAACATTGTTTCATGAGTCATGCAAGCAGTTTAACCTTTAATGTGGTTGTTTCCCCAACATTCGTATGGTAAAAGACTGAAACACAAATAAACACTTATAAGTATGACTAAAAGGTAACAGACTAGCTAATTAGGATTACACTTATGATATTATGCTAATGTACCTTTAAGTATTAATTGACAAATGTGAATATCAATAGAACAGTCCTCCTTGTTACGTATTAGAATAAAGCGTTTACTTTAAAACAACAATTCACAAAAAGGAATATACAAAATACATATAAGAAATGCTATTTGAAACAAACTTTAAGCTTCTTCAGTCTCACAGTGCTTGTAATCTTACAAAAACAAAGGTTCGAAAATGCACTGGTGCGAATAACATAAATCGCGAAAACTAGTGACCTTATTTTCTGCAAGAATTCTCAATGCTTACAAAAATCCATAAAAATTTAACAATAATCTTAATACAAAGATAATAGACAATTCTATCATATTCAACCATAAAACTTACACTGTGTGGGGCTATAAGACTAAATTTTGCCTTTGAAATATCGTGAATAATTGCGGAGCGCAAAACGTTACTAAAACCAGAAAAGATATAAAACTACCGAAAAGAAAAATATACAACACCAAGAACATTCTAGTAAAAATGCGGAACCCAAAGGGATACTTTGACTGTAAACTTAATGCTTAATGTTCTGGTTAAAATACACTTGTGTCCGTCCGTCTGTTAGCAATTTGGTTACATAGAGCATAACTTGAGTTCCATTTGGCCCACAATATTCAAACTTCATAGGATGATTGTCCATATTGGGTTAAAAGACCCCTATTGATTTTTGGGTCACAAGGTCAAAGTTCAAGGTCACTATTATCTTAAAACTGAAAACAGTAAGTATTTAAGTTCTAAGTTTAATGGTGATACAATAATTAAAGGAAATATTGAACAAATTATCTCACAAGATATATTTATAGGGTATTGCATAAAAGGGAAACAACTTTTTCCTCTTCTTGTCGTTCGCCCTTCTACAACGTCACCCCAGCCACAGCGATGAAATGTGCAGTATTCCGGAGGGCCTCAAGGTTCCCGTAGAACCTTCATTTAAGAAAATAAATGTATGTCGATTATGTCAAGACAACATAAAGACGACACCGGCATGTGATCTAAGTATTATTACTTGACTTATTATACGAAGCGTCATACCTCTTCACTTGAACACAAGTTTGAATGCCATTGTGGAAAATGAGAATTGAAAGAGAAATATTGCCCATAAATTTCGTATTAATGACCTCTTATTCAGGAGTTCAGTGCTTTAATATGCACTAGCAAACCTTCGTGCACCTATAACGATTATTTATCAAAATAAACTAATTACTATTCTAAACTAATGATTAACCTTTCAAGTTATTTATGGAGTTGTTGAATACCAATATAATATATTCTTTCTTTATTGATTTTGCCCTACGCAGAATACGCACGAAATATGCAACATCCGTTTCAATGGAAAATTCGTTTCGTAAAACTGCATAAATGCTCATAGGCAAAAAAAAACTCGTATGGTTATAATCTTGTATAAAGTAAGGTGAGAAAGTAAATTTCAGGGTGGTTAAAAAAGGAAATATATCTTGATTTTGAGTGAAATGTGCTATAATATAGCAGGGTTTGAAGTAATATGATCACGAAGGCCGTATGCCTACAAACATTTGAACAATGCCTACTTCTGTTATGGACAAGCTTTGTTAGACTTAGCTCGAATGGAGAATGGAGTGCAGGGAAACGCCCTTCAAGGAACGACATCTGAACGACATATCGTGCTATATGTATAACACAAAGCAAACAAAATCAAGATGTTTTACCATTCTATAGAATATATACATCTACGTGTTAGAATGGAAAATGTCTTGATTTTGTTTGCTCTGTGTTATACATATAGCACGATATGTCGTTCAGATGTCCGTAGGCCTACGGCCTACGTGATTATATTACTGCGCATCTAAACTCCATTCCGTGTTATATTATAGCACAGTTCACTCAAAGTCAAGATATATTTCCTTGTTTACCGCCCTGAAATTTATTTTCTCACCTTTAATTACTTTATACAAGATTCTTATCATGCGAGTTTTAAGAACTTGTTTGCCTAAAAGCATTAAGGTCGTTTTACGATACGAATTTTCCATAGAAACGGATGTTACATTTCGTGCATACGCATTCTGCGTAGGGCAAAAGTTATAAAGAAAGAATATATAATATCGGTATTCAACAACTTCATAAACAACTTGATGTTATGTGAAAGATTAACTATTAGTTCAGAATAGTTTATCTTGGTAAATAATAGGTGAACGAAGGTTTGCTAGTGCATATTAAAGCGCTGAACTTCTAATTAAGAGATCGTTAATACGAAATTTATGGGCAATGTTTCTCTTTCTTTTCTCATTATCCACAATGACATTAAAACTTGCGTTCAGAGTTATGATGTTTCGTATATGTCAAGTAATAAATTAATACTCAGAAAAGAAAAAAGCACATTCCTATTCAGTGTAAGGACCATCTCAACGATGTCCGATCGTCCTTCATATTGTCTGGAGAAGAATTCGCGACAAAATCGGCATACATTTATTTGACTATAAAAGTTAGTTATTTTAAAATGCAATGTGCGAAAAAAATTATCAGTTTACGATGTTACATAAATGAGTAAACAAATTTAATAAAAATATCAAAGATCTAAAGATGTACGTTTAAGGGAGCCTACTTTATCACAGGATTTGAATCTTATTTATATTTTAATTATTTTTTTATTATTTTTTGTTTGCCAGTGTTATCCATTTGATTCCATTATAAACTTAGACTGCTTCGAAGAAAGTGTAGGCAGAATCAATAGCACATAAATGTGTACGCAGTATCTTGATATTTTTTTATAGATTATACGAAGTATCACAATGTCTATTTCCTGTAAATAGTTCATTTTAAGACATTTTTCGTGCAAAAAAAAAAACAAAGACTGAAAATGTATTTGTGAAAGAGATTCTAAAATAAAATAACTTCCATATGCAGCTGTGTGAAACGTTCAGTTTAATCGAAAATTTCTCAATTTCTGTAACATACCAACGCCGGGTGTACGCAGTACTCAGAATCAAAATTGCATTCAACGCGAAATACTGACGAGAAAGGGAAGACTTGTCTCAAGGCATTTGGAATATTAAAACTAGAAGTAAGGAAAGAAATTAAAATCAAATCTATTCTGATTGCTTTATATGACTCGTTTTTGTTCAAAACACCGGTTGAAAAAGTGTTCGCGGTATCAGAATTTAAAGAATGCGCGCATGGTATGGCCCCCTTGATAGTTATGCTTATTTATAACTGTGCGGAAGAAAACATTCTGTAACAATGTGAATACGATAAACATTTAATGCCAAAATTTTGTTTAAAATCGCGAAATTGAAATTGCTTGACAGTATTGTCATCTGCATAATCGATTTGTTTGCTGGAT